CAGATCATGATCCCTGGGTCCTGGGATCGAGCCCCGCATCGGGCTCCCTGCTCCTCAGGAAGCCTGCTTTTCCCTCTCCTCCTCCCCCTGTTTGTGTTCCCTCTCTCGCTGTCTCTCTCTCTCTGTTGAATAAATAAGTAAAATCTTTAAAAAAACAACAGCAACAACAAAACAAAACATTGGATGGAAGAAAACCATAGGCGAATGTGAACTCTGGCTCTGCCCTTGCCTGACCAGCAACCAAGGTGGCAGACATGGCCAAACACGACTGTCTCCCCAGCCACTAACCGGCCATGACTCTTTAATCAGATCGTTTCTTTACATGCACTAATCTGGTTCCGCGGCCCTGAGGATAGCACTGGGTCCTCCCGGCTCGGGTGGGGCCCACAGCATGTGCCTGCCTGCACCGAGCCATGATTCCATCTCACTCTGGCACTTTGCTAAGTGTGTAATCAGCATTAACTTGTTTAATCCCCATGACTACCCCCACGGAGGTGGGCATGGTTGAGATCATCCCTGTTACACAGGGAAGGAAGCCAGAGCATGGAGAGTATAAGCTTCTTGCCAGAGGTCACCCCAGTGAGTGCAGCCTCACTGCAAAGGCAGATTTTTTTTTTTAAGATTTTATTTATTTATTTGAGAGAGAGAATATGAGAGATGGAGAGCATGAGAGGGGGAGAGTCAGAGGGAGAAGCAGACTCCCCACTGAGCAGGGAGCCCGATGCAGGACTCAATCCCAGGATCCTGGGATCATGACTTGAGCCAAAGGCAGACGCTTAATCGACTGAGCCCCCCAGGCGTCCCAAAGGCAGATTTTTAATCACTGGGCTCTGGTAGTTATGGTTCCTCAGTGTGTAGATATCCATGAAGGACCTACTGTGTACCAGGCACTGTTCTAGGAGTTGGGGACACAGTCATGGGCAAAACAGATTCCTGCCCTTATGGAGCTTTTCCATTCGAGAAGGAGAGCCAAGGCATTACGTAGTGTGCTGGGGGAGAAAGCAAAGTAGGGAAGGGAGACAGGGAGTTTTGTGGGGGTGTGGATAGGAAGGATTCTCACCGAGATGGTGTTAGGGCAAGAACGTGAAGGGAGGGAGGGTGAGCTCCATGGGGTGTTGAGAGAAGAGTTAAAGGGACTGAGGAGTACAAAGGTCCTGAGGCAGGAGCAAGGTGGCAGGTTTGAGAAACACCCAGGAGGTAAAGCAGGTGGGATGGGGGTGGGACGGGGGTGGTGGGGGGGGAGAAGAGGAACACGAGGTCAGGGGGATGATGGTCACCTTGTGGGTCGTGGTGAGGACTTTGGCTCTTCGTCTGAGAGAGGTGGGGGCCAGAAGAACATTCTGATTTTCCCAGTGACGGTTTATTGACAGGTAGTTTGTAAAGCATATAGTGCAGTCTTTTAATGGGTACAATTCACTGGATTTTAGTCTATTCCCAGGGTTGTGTCACCACCACCAGGACAGTTTCTTCAAGAGAAGCCTTGTACCCCTTAGCTCCGGATTCTCCCCCGTCGCTCCCCTGACCCTCCCCAAGACAGGCAACCTTCCGGTCTCGTGGATTTGCCTCTTCTGGACATTTCCTATTAATGGAATCATACACCATGTGATCTTTTCTTTTTTAAATATTTATTTATTTTACAGAGCGGGGAGGGGCACAGAGAGAGATCTTCAGGCAGACTACCCCCACCACCCTGAAGCACGGAGCGTGGTGCGGGGCTTGATCCCAAGACCCTGAGATCCTGTCCTAAGCCGAAATCACCGGTCAGACGCTCAACCAACTGAGCCACCCAGGTGTCCTGTGTGGTCTTTTCTAAGTTTCACTCGGGGTGAAGTTTTCAAAGTTCATGCACGCCGCGGTACGTAGCAGTACTTCTCTCCTTCTCATGCCAAATAACGTTCCGCTGTGTGACAGTCCGTATTTTATTTGCCTCTTCGTCATCTGGGCTGTAACACCTTTTAGCTACTGTGCACAGGGCTGTAATGGCCCCTGGTGCACACATTTTTGCGTGGACACAGTTTTCATTTCTCTCGTATGTGCCCCAGACTGGGACGGCTGGATTCCCCGCTCAGTCCGTGCTTGGACTTTCTAGGACTGTTTCCCCCCGCGGCTGCCTCATTTTACAAACCCCCACCACCCCCTGCCCGGGCAGTGTCTGAGGGTTCCGGTGTCCCCCACGTCTTTGCCCACACTCACCATCTGTCTTTTGATCGGGGAGACGTTTGAGCTGAGAAGGAACATCATCTGACTTGGTTCATTCGGGATCCGTCTGGCACCCACGTTGAGAATATCTTACGCTGATTCATCTCTCCTTTCCTTCTGTGTTTTTCTCAGCTCTCCCTATCCTGGCAAGGCCGCTCTCTAAAGCATGACAAAGTCTTTTCTCCTGCTTCTCAGCACCCCCCACCACATCCTTGCCCCCGCCAACCCCATCGGAAATGACTCCCCTCAGTGAGCTCAAGGCTGGTCACGTGTCTCAGACAGCCTTTCATCTCCGCTGTGTCTCTTGTCAGGCGATTGCCCTGGTCTGACGCGGGGACCCTCCTGCCATGTCCTTGAGGCTCTCGTGGGTAAGCACCACGCACATTTGGACCTTGAAGAGTTCGTAATAAATAACAGTTACATTGGGTGAGAGGGTCAAGGCGAATGGGCCTCTTTGGGGGAGGACGGGTGCAAGGAGGGGGGGCGGGCATTGGGCCAGGGCAGACCCCAGGCTCATTGGTTAGTTCAGTTGGTTAGTTCCGTTGGTTAGTTCCCAAGAACAGCAAAGTCATGGGGATAAGACAATTCCCATAGCTGATGGCTGTTGAAAACCTTGAGGAATTCAATGAAATATGTTAATTGATTGACTAATTGACTTGATTGATTAATGCCTCAGTGAGCTAATTGATCACCTGAAGACTTCAGGGCATACATAACTTGTGCCAGGAACTGCCCAAGGTGCTGGGGATATATCATCAGCAAAACCAGACCGGCTTGTTGCTTGGGAGCTGGGGGAGACAAAAGTAAAGAAACCAGTAAGACCCTTTCAGATAAAATGGGGATGATTTGGTACAGTGACTGGTAGGTTGGGGTTCCCATTTTGGATACTGGGCAGTGAAGGCCTCTCCGGGGAGTGAATGATGAGCTGGAGTCTGGAGCAGAAGTGAGCTCTGGAAGGATCTGGGAGAAGAGTTTTCTGAGCACAATGTACAGCAAATGCAAAGGCCCTGTGGCAGGAGAAAGCTGGGGCTGTTCAAGGAACAGAAAGAAAGCCCAGGAGGCTGGGAGTACAGTTAGTAAGGGGAGAGGCTGGGAGATGGGGCAGAAAAGGTAGGCAAGAGCCAGGCCGTGCAGGTCTTGGGACAACACCGGCCTCAGCCGTGCTCCCACGTTGCAGGAACTGATCTAAGTAAGCCCTGCCACAGTTGACCAATGCAGTTAAACCTCACGACAGCCCTTGGGGAGAGGCTCTTATTGTCCCCACTGGACAAGTGAGAAAACCAAGGCCAAGAGTGGGCCAAGTGCCTTGCCCTGGGACTCTGCTGTGGGAAACCCTGGAGCATGGTTTCCCCAGACTCATTCCCCTCTGACACCTCTGACACCCTGTCCTGGCACCCTGATCTAGGTCAGGGGTTGGGCTCCTCTTACATGCACCCTGGGCAAGGTCAGGTCTGCTGTGGAGGACAGTGGCAGACAAGGCTCTCCGGCTGGTATGGAGTGGGTGCTGTACACAAATACTGCTTCTGCCAGATCATGCTGCTTTCTTCCGCGGCTGAGGGAGAGTTTCCGAAGGCCTCCTCCAGAGCCAGCAGGGACCGGCCTGCCTTCGCCGGGCGCTGAGGACACTGCGTCTCACCCCGTGTAACCCTCAACCAGTCCCTTGTCCTCTCAGTAGTCCGGTCTAGAGAATGAGGGGCTCAAAGCTCAATGTCACATGCAGGCTGGGGAGCCGTAGGGGAGCACCTGCTGTGTTTGGAGCACCTGTTACCTGCAATTAAGCATCCTTTATTTGCTCACTCGCTCATCATATCTCCCTCTTCATTAGAAAGCAGACACTAAGGTGTGTCCTTGTCACCTTTCTGTGCCTGCTTCCTCACCTGGAAAATGGAGCCATTTTGGGCAAGGGGCTAAGCCCAGGGGGCCCAGCATTACCTGCCAGGCAGAGTGCTAGCTGCGGAGGACAAGGCAGGGGCTCAGAGAGACCAAGTCTGCCGGCAGCATTGTAGCTGGGGGGCTGGTCAGAATGCAAAGGACGAATGACTGTGTAACATGCCAGGTGGTTCTCAGCGATAAGGGAGATGGGGAGAGCTGGCGCTATTTTGTTTTACACGAGGTGGCGGGTGGAAGGCCTTTCTGATAAGGTGGCAGGGTGGTCATGAAGGAAGGAGCCGGGCAGATATCTAGGGGAACAGAATGCCAAGGCGGGTGGGTTGTGTGTATCAGGCACTGAGGCGGGAGTCTGCAAGGCTGGTTCCAGCGAGAGCGAGGCTAGAACAGAATGTGAGTGTGGTTGGGGGCTTGGGGGATGGCAATGAGGTCGCAGAAGTGCGGATGGGGGCTCCGGTGTTTCTGATGAGTTGGGAAACTCCTACTAAGTGTGTCCACGACGCCGGTCAAGACAGAGGAAGTGGGAGAGGAGGAGGGGCAGGGGCGAAGGAGAGGGGAGCAGGAGGGTGGGGGGGGGCGCTGCGGGAGGACCGGGAGAGAGAAGAGGAGAGGGAGCAGGTGATGGGAGGAGGAAGAGCAGGGAAAGCGAGAGGCGGGGAGGAGCGGGGAAGAGGAGGCAGAGGGGGAGCCAAACCCCACCGACGCCACTGCACGCGGAACGCGAGGATCCCCGCGCGGTCTCCCGCGGAAACGGAAGCGAGGGCGTGGGGCGGCAGACTACCCCCCGCGGGGCGTGTCCTCGGGACCGTCCGATCCGCGCCCCGCCCGGCCCCCGCCCCCAACCCCGCCCCGACCCCGCGCAGCCCCCGCCCCCCGCCCCCGCCCGTAGGCTCGCGCCCGAATCCTGGTGCCCAGGGCGTCCCGGGGGCGGTCCGGCTGCGCCGGCGATGGCGCATAAAACCGCCGGCCACCTGCCGGGCCGCTCCTCCGTGCGCCGCGGTCTGGGCCCCGCCGTGCCGCTGTGGCCCGCCTGCCCTAGCGTCGCCGCCTGTGTCGCCTGTGTCTCGGTCCCCGTCCCCCCAGGCGCGGAGCCACGCGAGGGCCGGGCGGGAGCCAGGGCGCGCAGACATGGGCAGCCGCGCCAGAGCGCGCCGGGCGGTCGCGGTGCTGGGCTTCGCTGGGCTGCTGTGCGCCGTGCTGGGAGCCGTCATGATCGTGGTGGTGCCCACGCTCATCAGGCAGCAGGTCCTCAAGGTGGGTGAGGGGCGCCGGCTGGGGCCCGCGCGGGGTCGGGACTGGAGGGCGAAGGGCGCGGAGGAGCGCGCGCAGTCAGAGGGCGGGCGAGCCAGAGCCGGGATCTGGGCCCCGGAGCAACGGGAGCCCGGAGCGCATCGCGAGGGGCCGCTGGCTGACGCCGTAGTACCCTCCCCGACCCAGGCCGAGGCTGGGAGGCGCAGGGGCATCTGGAGGCTCTCCTGGAGGCGCGGGTCCAGGGTTGGGGAGGCCTGAATGAGAAACCTCACCCTAAGCAGTCTGGCGCCCAGGCCAGGCTGGAGTGTGAGCACATTATGGTGCTACTTTCTCGCCTCTTGACTACAGCAGCCTGAGGCCCTATCTGCTAAAATTAGGGCTGCACTTTGCCTGTTTCCTGTGAACCCAGGACGACAGGAACCTTCCATTCATGTGCTTCTGTGAGACTCACATGGGTCCCGGGGCCTGGATAGTAGTGCAGAGCACTCTGCTGTCCAGAAGCTCCCCCTTAGAAAGCCCTTCTCAGAGGCCCAGGGCTCCGTCCTCCCCCAACACTGCCTTCCTGATGCCCACTGGAAATGGTAAGCAGCTTTCCCCTTAGATTCCCACAGAGGCAGGAGCCCAAGGCTGCATTAGCAGAGGGCTTTCCTCTGATCTTAACTTTCCGCACGATTGCCCTTTCAACCGTGGAGACAAATTAGCTGGCCTTAGACCATCAGACTCTGCCCTGGGTGTCTGGACAGCCTGTTTAAGTGAGCTGGCGTTGAGAAAGGCCAGGGTCACAGCATTTCAGAGCCTTGACGCCAGAGAGAGCACTGGCAGTGTGGGGAGGGGAAACTGATGCTCACCTTGCCCAGACACTGAGCAAGCCTCGATAAAGATGTGGGTAATGTCACTTGCTCGTTGACTTCTCTTTTCCCCTTAGCCTGCTCCTTTAGTGGGTTTCTTAAGAATGGGACTTGTCCACGTCTCATATCTGTGCCCCCTGCCCAGTTCGGGATGCCTGGGGATGAATGGATCACGGGATGAATGTGGTCTACAGTCTGCTTACACCTGAGCCGCCCCTCTCTGGGACCCGGCCGTCGTTAACCATGAGGCGAGGACTGGCTTTTCTCAAGGACTCTGGGAGTCATGTTGGGCACACTGTGTCTTTTTGTTGGTTTGTTTGTCTGCAGATCTTGTCCCAGTAAACCCTGTAGTCTGATTCTGAGGAGGTCCTGGCTGCTGGTGCCCCTGAGCCCTGAGTTCCTCTCGTGTTTTTTTGGCCTCTGGGGGTGGCCAGACAGATGTGTGTGGGGTCACCTCAGTGCGTTCGAACTGCTTTGTTCTTTCTCATGGTGGCCGAGGGGTTACACTGTTCAGAAGAGCCGTGAGAGCTTTATCTCAGGGAGAGCCCACGATGTTGTCATCCAGGTGCTGTAAACATGGGAGCCATCAGGACCCTGTGCAAAGAGCCTCTTGCTTTGGGGGTGCGAGAGTGGGTGGGGTTTATAGTTGAAACATCTTGTCGGCCCCATCATTCCTGGGTGAACTCTAGGGTGATTTCTTCTTCTCCTTTTGTCCCCCCTTTTTAAACGATTTTATTTATTTGAGAGAGAGAGTGCACACAAGCAGGGATGAGGGACAGAGGGAAGGGGAGAGGCAGACTCTCCCGCTGAGCAGGGAGCCCGATGCAGGGCTCGATCCCAGGACCTTTGGATCATGACCTGAGCCAAAGGCAGTCGCTTAACCGACTGAGCCACCCAGGCGTCCCCCAGGGTGGTTCTTTCTAGGGATGTCAGTCGGTTCTGTGCACACTGGTCCACACGCAGGTACCCCCTAATTCCCCCCTCTAACTCTGGGTTTCCAGAGTGGAGACCGCCATCATCCTCAGCTGTCCTGGACCGAGAATTTTCAGGCTTAAAGTGGAGCGAGAGCTGCCCCGCATCCTCCGTGAATCTCCTGAAGATGATTGGTTTGGGTCCGAGTGGCGTGAAGGCAGGAAGGCAAGCCCAGCCCACGACAGCCACTTCTTGGGCAGCCCAGGCTGAGTCCTAGCCAAGTCCCTTCCCGTGGAAGAAGGATGTCTGTGTTCAGGGGACCGAGTGGGTGGGACGTGAAGAGAGAGGGAGGGACTGCCTGCCGGTGTTTTCTTTGGCTGCACGTGTCCATGGGCAGCGTGAATGGGAGGCCTTGTGCTTTGCTATTTTCTTATGCTTTTTGGTTAACTAAAGAAGTCCGCCTATAAGACATGAATTCTTGCTTGGAAAAAAATAAAAAATTCAAACGGTGGGGAAAAGAGATCCCTCCATTTTATTCCCATCCTCAGATAATAATTACCACCATTGTTGGCAGGTGTGTATCTTTCTAGACCTTTATCGGTGCCTACGTCATAAGTATGTATTTACGCACATTACGACGTATTTTTTCCATACATGGAACTATACTATATATATATATATATATATATATATATATATATATATAATGTATATATATCTGCAGTTTGCTTTTCAACTCGCGGATATCTCTTGAAAATGTTTCCAGGTCACAACAAATAAATCGATCATTTTTCCCCCCTTTCTGCATGGTATTCCTTTAAATCGCCATCCCCTTGATTATTTCCTGGTTTCTCTACTGACTGGTGATTTTCTCTGTCTCAAGCAACTGAACCGTGAGTGTCCTGGTTTATACCTCTCGGCCTGCATGTCACAACTACTCGCACAGGGCAGATTTTCAGAACAGAAACCTGTAGACCACGAAGCCTGTTTCGTTTGAATTTTGACAGTTACCGCCAAATTGCCTTTCTGGAAAGCTCCAGCATTTATGCGCCCGCCAAGAGCGTGAAAGCCCCATTCCCCCTGCATGTCTGCCATCATTATACTTCACGGTGATCGTTTTGTTGTTGTTGTGGATCTGATGGGTTTGATTTACGTTTCTCAGGCTGCTGATGGGGTTGAGTGGGGAGGTGATGCATTCTGAAACCCTAGTCAGTTTCCGGAGCCCGGGGCTGCCGAGTTGGCTGGGCTCTTTGCTAGCTGGGGACAACATGCAACTCGCTTCACCTCTGAGGCACGGTTTCTTTCTTCAGCTCTGAGATGGGTCAGGTGTAGTTTGCCTGCCAGCGAGATTATAAACTACAAAGGCAGTTATGTATGTGTGCAAATACCTTGGACATGTCTCGTGTTTCTTGTTTGACTCTGACCACAGCCTTGAGAAGTAGGTTGAGGTGATGCTTTGGTTCCCTCCTACAGGTAAGGAAACTGAGGCATAGCAGAGGTCTTGGGCTTGCTGGCGTCTGTACGGCTCGTGGCAGTGGAGGGCCAGAGCCACAGTCCCGAGCTGAGGTCTACATGTCAGCCAGGGCCTAGGAAATAAGGTGGGAGTGGGAGCCGGAGCCCTTCATCCGATAGATTTCTAGGCAAGAGTTAGAAAGAAGGGACTCAATGTGTATGCTTTAGCACAGAGAGTTGGCAAAATATAGAAGTCATTGAGAAAAAGCTCAGGTCACAAGACAATAACCTGTATTTCCAGTGGGGAACAGTGCACATAAAATCAGAAAAGGGGTGGACTGACAGTGCTCACTCTCGGGGCAAAGGGGGAGGCTTGGGCTGTGGCCAAGGGAAACATATTTTATCTGTAATTCTTTTTTCAGTTTTATTTATTTAGATTTAATTTGTTTAAATTTATAGTAATTTACTTATTTGAGAGAGAGAGAGTGTGAGCAGGGGGAGTAGCAGGCAGAGGGAGAGGGAGAAGCAGACTCCCTGCTGAGCAAGGAGCCCGCTGCGGGACTCAAACCTTCCATCCCAGGACCCGGGGATCGTGACCTGAGCTGAAGGCAGACGCTTAACCGACTGAGCCACCCAGGCGCCTCTGCTCTTTTTTTTTTTTTAAACAAGGAGAATATTCATGTGTTATTTGTTTAATTAAAAATTAGTAACGAATCCAAGATTTCCCCCGAGAGTGGCCAAACGTGCCTCCCACCGTGGGTGGCACACAGCCGAGCAGCCTCGTGTGCTGAGGTTGCTGGGAGAGGTCCAGGGAAAGAAGCGGGACTCATCCCTTCTACTTTCCCTCAGTAGGTGGGAGTGGACAGGAGGTGTCCAGCCGGAATGCGCTAAGGAGAGCAGTCGTGAATTCCCATGGGCCAGGCAGTGTTCAGGACATCTTGGTGAATGCCGTCTTGCTTAGTCCTGGGACAGTTCTGGGACACTTCTCATTATCGTCCTCGACAGATAGGGAAACGAAGCTTTGGAGAGTAATTTTGCCCCAGGTAACCTTCCTGGTGTGTGTGTGTAAGTAAATATCCTGGAGGAAAAAGCCAGGAGAATGAGGACTCTTATCTCCATCGCCTAGGACTGAGCCTGGCATGCATGGCCCTCCCTGTTCGAATGGATGAGGAATGCTCCCTCCAGGTCCTGGCAGTACGTTTCCAAGTTACCAGGTGTCTCTGGTTGGACAGGGAAGGCCTGGCAGTAGGAGGAGCCCCTTGCTACAGCTGGGCCCCAGGGGAAGGTGCTTGTCTGCTGGGCCACTATGAGTCGATGGGCCTCCAAGCCTCCTCCACATCCAGGAGGGGAGCTGGGTGCCCTCTGCCATCTCTAAGTTGGTTTTCTGATTGAAATCAGCCTCGAGGGCTTTATCCACTCATTTTTTCAGCTGCCGAAGGCTTCCCCAGCTTGTGTTTCCATCTCAATAAGTGACACCTCCATTTGCTCCCCCAAGTGTAGAGGTGAAGTTCTTGGGTCATCCTTCATATGGTCTATCAACAGATCCTATTGGCTTTATCTTCAAAGTGTATCTGGATTTCAACCCCTCTTCTCAGCATCACCATGGCGGCCTTCTCCATCCACTGCTTGGACTGGTGAAGTAGTCTCATCTCTGGTCTTCATAGGCAGCCAGAGGGATCCTGATAAAACACTTGTCAGATCATGTGTCCCCTCAGCTGACAACCCTTCGAGGTTCCCTATGTTACTGTGAGTGAGTATCAAGGTCGTCCCAGTGGCCTGATGGCCCCCACT